TCATCACCATCATTAAGCTCTAGACAATCAAAACACTTCCTAACGTACAGGGCCACCCCACCGCCTCTCCTTCCTTGCCTGTCCCTTCTGAGGATTTTATAGCCGTCCATTGCAGCACTCCAGTTGTGCGAGTCATCCTACCACCAGTACACAGAGGTACAAGCAGCAGCTTCAGGGAGATTTGTCTGGCCTTTGCTGCCTTCTCTGCTGGATACAGAGCATGTGGAGATAGTTCATGTTTTGGGTCATTAGGACTAAATCCATCAAAAGACAAAAGACACTGCATGTCGAGCTCACAGTTACTCCTGTCCTTCCCATCATAAAGGTTTTTGAGAAAGGTCAGTCCCTCCGGAAACCCAAATTCTGTGCCTAGCAAGGAGTATCTGACAATATTTCTGATGAAGCAGTTCTGAACCACGCATGCTTGCAGGGCAGCTGGAAGTCTATTTTCTGGGCATAAGCATGCCCTTGGTTTTCCCGGGATTTCCTAGGTACAACCTTGTGGGAACCGCTCTGCCACGTCTAGATCCTGCCTCAGGTTTCTTCACCCAAGGGACCTCCACAGCTAGCACCCCAAATCTGAATATAGATTTTCTACATCCTTGATATAAGCCTCCACAGATTTCTGTGGGCAAATATTGAAGGGGAAAAAAAAATGTTCAGCTTCTGTATTTTTGTGTTTTGCTCCCTGATTGAGGCTAGTTTTAGTCTTTTCAATACATGCTCCAGTATTTTACCGAGCTTGTCATTTCATGGGATTATTCAGAAATAAACTGTTAGATTTTCCAGTTCCTATGCTACCTTCATTCCCCTGGTAATGTTCATGGGTAGAGAAGCCTTAACATTCATTACAAAGGCAAACCAGTCAGCCCCCAAGACTGAATACAGGCCCAGTAAAAAACAAATTATCATTCCTTGACACTATAAAGAGCTGCTTTCTGTAATACACAGGAGGCTATAATACACAATCAGAGCAACGCCATGCCATTGAAAATGGGCATATTATTAACTTGAAATAAGGATAAAACCTGCAACTGCTCCATTTAAAAATAATGCAGTTTGGGGTTTGTAGGCATTACTTCTACTCCAGAGTACACACGGCAGCTTACTACATGGTTATCCACAAAAGCATTCGCTTCGGGCTGGAACAAGCTGTCACGCTGACGGAGCAGCACGCATCCCTCGGCGAGCCACGGACCTGCTCCTTGCTAACTGCAGCGCTGGGAACTGCCATGAAACTCATTGCTGAGTAGGGCTCATCTTGGACTGAGGTCAGCAAGGTTAATTCGGCTCAAAGCTAAAGCAGAAGTGACCTCATGCTCCTGACATCCCCTTCCTTATGTTTTCCTCCCCCGGTCAGCTGTGACGCCTGGTTAACTGTCTGCAGACCCATGCTTGAGAGATGACTAAGCTGCAGCACTTCAGCCATCAAGTGGGGAAAAAAAAAACCAACCCAGGAGCAAATTTTCTGCAGCCCTTGCTGGCACCCATGCTGTGCAGTCATGACTTCTTTTATAAGCTGGAGCCCAGCACCAAGAACGTGACTCTGCGGTAGAAAAAAGCGTGGTCCTCAGCAGCTGGAATCAGGCTGCGATGACCCAGCAAAGAAAGCTGAGCTGGGCCAGTGCTCCATTCCCCTGCCCGGCTACTTGATGCTGCTTCTTCAGCTCAGCATCTCAAGCGTTTTGGGAGGCGGATCTAATCTGCTGGCTGTTGCAGCCCTCTCGTGGCCACACAAACCCAACCGCGCTCCTGCACGCCGGCTGCTGGGAAAGCACAGACCAAAATGCTGTGTGGGAGGACAGCATATTTTAAGAAGCACAACAAATAGTTATTAAATAGCATTTTCATCTGAGAATAAATGTATAAATAAAAGGAACAGACACTTAGGATAGTATTTGTTCCAGGTGTACAAGCAGAGTCCTTGTTAAATTACTTGCTTTTCAAGAATCAAAAGGAAAATTACAGATAAAGCATTAAGCAGTCGCATTTTTAATGGGGCGCCCTGTTTCATCTCCCTAGGCTGTCACTAAACAGTCTGCTTTGAAGTGCGCCTTTTGAGCATTTGCGCATTGATTTACAATGGTGTGGGTAAATTCTGTGCTCACAAGTTTTGCTGAGTATCTGCTTACTGGAAACATGTCTATCTGCTCAGGAAACTCCAAGGAGGGGTGAAAACCTCTTGGGTTGGGGAAAGATCTGGGGGAACCTGGACTGTTCCAAATTTCTGCAAAGACTAACAGGTAGATGATTCTTTGGAGCTTGAAAAGCAAGCCTGGGTTTTGGTATATTTTGTTTTTCCTTTTAGTCTACTAGGGAGAGACAGAGACATCACTAACACTTGGAAATAAACCATGGGAATTAACAGTGGAAGGAGGACATTGATGGGAGCAGTGCTGAGAGCCCATCCAACAGCCCAGCCGTACGCTCCCTGCCCGGTGCTGTCAGTGAGCACAATCAAAGGAGATACCTATAGAATAAAGAATAAAATGGATCAAAAAACAAAAGCTTGTGCATAGGTATGGGGTACTCTGGAGGAGGTTGTCCGGTTTTGATTGATGTTTCTTAGGCTGGCAGCAATAGTACTTACAGACCAGAGAGCCGCAGTCCTGCCCGAGGGATGATGTTACGCTATCGTTTTCCCGCTGCTTTCCTCTTTTTTTCCTTACAGTAGTTTCAGAGGAAACATCTGCAGGAGAAATTGCTGCATTTCAAAAAGAGATGAAAAAAAACAAACCAAAACTAAAAAAAAAACCAAAAAAACCCAAAGCACAAAGTGGAGCTGTGACGACCGTGTGAGCTGACATTACCTTTTCAGACGGGAGCGCTGCTACCTCTGGCAGTAACGGCATCCGGGCAGATAGATGGGGGCGGGGGGCGTAGGTTCAGAGGGATCAGAAGGACTCTGGGTGACAATGGCATCTAATATTTTGCAAGCCAATGTGCCAGCCCATGTGTTCATGATGCTGGAACAAGCCTTTTGATCAACATCAGGCATCAATAAGGCAGCAGTATCTGAGCCCCTTCGGATGCACATGGGCACGTGCTTTCCAGCTTAAGCACAGAAAAATCAGTTTATAGAAGTGGGCTCCGCGCCTGCAGCTTTTTTCCATCTGAGCTGGTGCTTCCTGCCTTGAGAGCTATTTGCAAGGAGGCCGGCAGGACTGCAGGCTCCTTTGCCTCCATGTGCCCAGCCCAAGGTCCGCACAGCACCATGGCCCTAAATGCAGCACCAAATCCCACTGGTGTCCTGTGCAGGGTCTCCCTTTCCAGCTGACTGCCCTAGCAGCACCTTCTTTAGCCCTCTGAATAACTCAGGACCCTGTGGAAATAGTCCTTACTTACCTGTATTAACACCTTAACCACATACATTATATTTAAGTAACGTAGGTGCTGTTTTGCTGTGCTGCAGCAATGCTGCTTCGAGTGAGCCAAGATGCCTCCAAAGGCTGTGGCACAAGGACGAGTTGCATCTCATGCCCAGCTCTTCCATGGCCTCAGGCTCGTCTTTCTCACTTACAAGAAACTTTATGCTTCCATAAAACTGGATTTTGCATTTTTTTTTTATTTTTAACTACCTAACCTCTTTGCTCTTCATTTTCTGAAGCCCACACGTACAGAACAAGATGTGACTTTTTTGGTTTAAGATTGCTTTTATTTTATATAGAGAAAAACAGTAGTAAGAAAGTAACAAAATTAGTATCTGCCTGAAAGAGCACAGGGCAAGTATCATCCTGGGATCCAAAAAATCCTCCAAACAAAAAGGTTGATAAATTTTTAAGACATGTCTATATTGCGAGATGCTGAGATGCTTGGGGCAGTGAATACCTATGCTGATAAAACCATGTGAAATAGCCTAGTGCAGAGCAACTTACAGCTCAGGTCTGGGTGCAGTGAGGCGCACTACTTGGGTGCAAAGCAGCAGGGACACCTTGCTGTTTTTTCCCTGGGGCAGCTGGAAGCAGTGGGTCTGTACGCAGCCAGCACAGGGGCTGCAGCCGGGAGCACCTGGTCATATAGACACATCTTTAGGTATGTAAACATGCTGGCTACATAGAAAAGTGGAAATTCCAGCGTCAAAAGCACAGACAGGATGCATACCATTAAAAAAAAAAGTCCATGTAGGCTTTTAGTGAGATGGAGCTCTTTCCTTTCTGGAAAACATTCTCCTAGGGCTGGACTAAATAGTCAGGCTCCATTGACGTCAGTGGGACAAAGAGCTCACCCCCAGTGTTGCAGTGTCCGCTGACCCTGGCTGGGAACGGGAGGCTGCGGATGAGCCCCACTTTCTTGCCTTCTTGCCTGCGAGTTGCCTTCTTTCTATGCTATGCCCTTCTGCAACCGCATCGCCCCTATACCCACCCTAACTTGTCTTCTGCAGTTGGTCCGGACTCTAGGATTCAACCACAATCATACTCAAGGTGTTTCTGAAGATGATCCTCCCATCCTCTTTGCTGCTGCACTCGGGCTGGCAGAGAGCCTCCTGCAGCCGCTGCCGCAGCCCCGGGGGGGCCGTGCCCAGGAAGTTTTTTGTCCCCGTCATGAAATCCATCATGCGGGCTCCAACCGGGTCCCCCTCGATAAAGCACTCGGTGATATCCCAGCCCGATGGGAACTCATAAACGCGGTATTCAACACCCAGTCTCTTCAAAACATCTGTGATGCCGTTGGAGGTGATGTAGTGGCCGCTGTCGGTGGAAGGCAAGCAGTGTCTGTACTTTTTCCATAAGCTGGCCCATCCGCTACTGTCTGCCAGAGCAGGAGGGAAGGTTATTTTTGCAAAGCCAAGGCAGTCAAACATCAGCTAATGCAACTACTAAATGAGTTTGAAATGATACCTCGCTGCTGGCACAGACTTTGCCAGGAGCAGTTAGAAGAGGTTTCCCCTTACTTGAGTCCACTTATAAATGTCTGTGCCTGGAGAGGAGTAAAACTGTGATCTCCATTAGCCCTCCTTCCAAAACTCTCCTGTTTAAAAGAAACTCTGAGGAGATGGTCTCTGGCACTGGATTTTTCCGGGAGGAGTACACACAGATATATCAGTGCACTGAGTCTGCACATGCATGCTACCTATTAACTGCCCCTTTGATAGAATAGTGCAGATGTTTTTATACCTTGAACCTCCATTTTAAGTATACATCAAAGAACACATACCTGAAAAGCCAGTCCCAGCTAGCAAGGGAAACAGCCTACCAGCAATGCTAAAGGGAGTTTTAATGGCAAACGTGGGGAAGTGTGCTTTATCCACTGCACCACAAGCTGGGGATCTGTGAATGGCACACTGGAAAAAAAACACTCAATTTTTTTAATCAGTGCCATGATGTTGTAAGTGCCTCTTTTTCCTCTTGGCAGCTCCTGTTGTCCTGCTGGGGTCTGGGCCATCGCTGTGTGGAGGAAAGCACCCCAAAGATGGGTACTCCCAGAGCTCAGGTTGTACAGTGCTCATTTCACCATGAAGAGGGATTGACCCTCATTCATTAATAGCCACACTTCTCTCTAGCCAGTAATTTCACAGCAGAAGGTCTCTGCGAGTTAGAGAGCAATTCAACTACTTCATAAGTAGGGAAGCAAGAGCACGAAGGCTATGCCTATGCAGTCCCATCAGACATTGAGGTCCAAGAGGCTAAGCCCAAGATCGCTTGTTCCCTATGAAATACGGCGTTTGCTTTATTTAATTAATAAGCACTACTAAAATCCCGAGATGAATATTTGTGGTTCTCATACTTCAAAGCTCTTCAAAACACCAGCAAAGAAACAAAAAATAAAAGGCCCCTCTTACCTGATAAAATTATGATCAAGAGTTTACCATGATGGTCGAGGCAGCTGTGGAAAAACTTGATAGTATTGGGAATATCCTCCACACGGTACAGCATCTAGAAGTGACAGAGTTACACACAGCCGTTACTCCTCCTCCACAGTGCAATGGCCCTTCAAAGTCTTAAACCCTTTCTCTATAGAGCTGTTTTAAATTACTTCCCAGTTGCTTCCCAGCCTGTCCTAACTCAGCACGCACGTTTAGGGATGCCCCACAGGACTGAGCATCACCAGCTCTCCACCGGCACCAACAGCCTGGGGTCAGACCTGGGGACCCTCTGCTCAGCCTCGGCCACCAGCGGGACGCTGACCTCCTCATCGCTGCCCTTCAAGCCCAGTGCAGTTTTGTGGTTGGAATTTATGTGCAGAGGCTGTCCCCTGGTTTCTGTGGCTGGTCCTTATCACCAGGGGCATTTCTTGGCCGTGTCTGGGCCATGGGCAGGTTGGATCTCTTCCAGAGATCAAGGAATTTGCACTGGGACAAAGCAGGGCTCATTTCAAAGGCTGCCCTCAGGGCTTGTAACTTAGCCCTTGACCCACCCACCAAAACTCTGAAACACTTTTCAGGTGTGAAATCAGCTCTTATTAAATGAAAACAAAATGAAATAAAAGAAAAATTAAATAAAACCACTAAAGCGAGACAATAACAGATTTTTCCCAAAATATAATTGGTACATACAACATCAGTGTCATCAGTATCAGAGAAACAGCAGAATAATTTCTGACCCAAAACCTGACACAGGTGTTCGTTCACTAACCTTTCCCTCAGTGACATCCAAACTGCTCTGATTAAGCAAAAAAATTCTAGCTTTTTGCAGCAGCAAAGCATAATTGTTGGCTTCCGTGTGATGCGTGATGGTCTGAGACTCCTCCTGTTTTATTACCCACCATACACAGTTAAACCAGTACAAACCAGGGACCAAAACCAAGGTGGACAGGGAATGAGGTTTGGTGTTTGTAGAGCTGCTGCAGAAGTAGTTGCTCACGGGAGAACTGTGCTCAGCTCTGCTCTCCCTAACTTGAGGCATACAGCAGAAATTAAGGGAGTAGTTAAAGCTAATGAAAGCAATATTCCATTACCTGGATCATATGGATGAAGTCGAATTTCTTATGTGCACCTTTCTCTTTCACCTGTTGTTCATATTCCAAGGAAGTGAGCTGGTGCCAAATAAAAGAGACATTCTGCAGGTCTGGAGCTTGATTCACCAGCTCTGTTTTAAAAAAGCAGAAGAAAAACATGAATTTCACAAAACAGCAGAAAAACTTATCATTCAAATCGACAGTCCTCTCTATACCCCAGGCAGCAGGTATAGCCTTACCTTTGTAAGCTGCCACGTGCTGTGGGTTGGGCTCTATGATTTCGTTGTCAATAAAGACCCCTGGGTGTGCAGCCTGCAGTATCCTGATCATTTTCAAATCCTGCTCGCCTAGTCAATAAACACAAATTCATTACTTTAAAAAGTACGTAAATGAGATGAAAGGATGCCGGTGCACTTGCCACCCTTGCTGCCGGGAAATCCCCCAAGCAGAATTGAGGCACTTTCTACCTTGCAGCTTGCATGGTGGCATCTAACCCATAGTCTTACCGCGATATCTTACTGCTTGAGGGAACATATAGTTACAGATAAGGCTAAGAACAAGGAAGAGATCAGCAACAGCACAGAAACCTGCTATTGGCAATACTCTGGGTCATGGGACAGACAGGTCAAAATAGTCAAAGATCAATGTTTAATAAAACAACCGGGAAGCATTAGTTTTCAACAAAAATGTAAAGTTTGAATGGGGGCATGGAGGGAGTCAGCACAGGTGTGCAATTTCAGTGTGGCACGGGGTGGTCCATGCCTTTGGCACTGCCCTGGGGAGGTGATGGTTGCTCTGCCGCTGGTGTGACATGGCTTGGAGACCTGGGGAACTGCATGGCAAGAGGAAAGACCCATTGACATGCAGTACCCTGGGTCTTCCCTCTTTGGGGCCCGACCACGTGGTCTCAGCTCTGGGCATCTACTAACTAGTTGTTGTCTTGGAGTTGCAAATGGAGAGTCATATATTGGCGTGTAGGTGCCCTGCAAATTTAGCTATTGGTGCTCCTCTGTTGTTGTCTGAGCTCTGGAGGAGCAAGCAGCAGTCTGTCCTTCTGTGCTAGGAAGTTCCCAGCCTCTTTCAAGGTGATGCAGGTCAGTCACCCTTGTTTCTTTCAGAAGGGCCACGATACCCTAAGTGTACAAAGTCCACCTGGTTCATCTGGGACTATGGAAATAAACAGTAGAGGCAACAACCTTGAGTGAACCTTTGCAAGAATCCTATCTGTAGCTGATGGCGGGCCCTAAAAATAGTCCTGCCCTTGCAAATGTCACACAGAGAGGGCTTGATATGAGATACTGCATCTTCCCTAGGCTTTCAGCTGATGTGCCATCTATGAGAAAAGTCGTCATCTTTGGCAGGTGTTGCAGTAAATAGAATTCAAGGAGGAAAATATCAGCCATTCCAGCACTACAGGGACATTCAAAGAAGGACGAGTCTTTTGAAATTGGAGAAAAAATACTCAAGACCCCTGAGGAATGCAGTGGCAGCGGTGCAGGGCTGGACAAAGGCAGAAGGAAAGAGGCTGTGGCTCCCTCCGTTGAAGGTGGGTGCGTGGACCAATATTGTTGACACTGGCAATCAAGGTTGCCAAGGTTGCCCAAGGTTGCTTGCCCTATGGCAAGCAGCTGAATCACTTTACAGTCCTAAATGCCAGTTAGTAGGTGCCTTGGGGTGGGAAACACCAGCAATTAGAGGTGTTGATGTGGGCTCCCGGCAGGCTCAGGGCAGGCAGGAGGCAGAGCATCGCTGCTCCCGTGCCCTGGAGCCACTGATGGTGGCAAATGGGTATATCAACAGCAAATGGGTATTTTATAAGTTGTTTGAGGTTTTTTTTACTCCATCTCTGTAAAACGTCCAAACCCAGTCTTTGCAAGAGCAGGTAATAACGTCCTCAACTGGGGTGCCTGCAAAAACAAGCGGTAAAATACAATGCTTCAGAGCAGGAATTTCTCTGCTCCAGCTTGCCCTGCCGGCAACAACCCTTCAGCATTAACTGAATATTTCAGCGAGGCTGAAACAGGAGTGAAAGCCCTCTGCAAACCGCAGCCCGCGCTGGCACTAACTGGGAGGTTACAGCCGAGATAGTTAAACCCGCCATGGGAAAACATGGGGTGAATGAGAAAATGTGATCTGGACCGACCAGCAGTCTTTTAGGATGTGGAGTCGGTCACTAATCCCCATTAATATTTTTGTCAACTAAACTAATTCCGGGGGCTCTGTGAAATCAGAGTCCAAGCCTGGAAAGGTCAGGGATCAGATCTAACCTTTTGCTCAATGCCATCCCAGCTCACTCCTCTGCCCGGCTGCAGAAGTTCAGCTCTTACAGCCATGAGCAAGCTGAGGGAGTGCAAGTCTGGGAGGGGCAGCTACCCAGGAAACCTATTTTTCCATTAAAACGTCTTCTGAAGAGGAAATAAGAAAAAATGAGGACAGTGCAAAAAGTTCATTTTTCCCTTGTGTTTTCTTGGAGTCAGAATTTTGGTTTTATATTACTTAATGAAAATGGAGTGTAATTGAGAACTGAATGATTTCTTCCTGCTTGCTTTCTCATATGCTCCAACATATTCCCAACTGGGGAAAACAATTCAATGCTATTTTCCTCTTACTCAGGAAAACAAGCAAAAAAAAGTGAGAAAAATACTTTCATTTGAAAGTACTAACACTTAAAATTCAGCTGAAAATACTTTTAAAAGCAAAAGCAAACTCTGACAAATCAAACTGCCACTTCTTTTCTCTACTTTTTATTTTCTTCCAGTTTCCCTAGGAGCAAAGCTGGATGTTTCACCGCTTTTTTTTTTTTTTAAACACAAATGCATTTAGAACAGCTTTAAAACTTTTTTTCCAAAAGATGGGTTTCTGTCTGGAGGGAAATACCATTAGTTGTTAAACCCTACTTATCACCGGATAAAAACACAGTAGTAACAAAGAAACACGTCTTGAAAAAGCTGATGAGGCCCCCTGTTAATGGTTGTGGCCAGCTGGTTTTGCACCACCTGGAGCAGAGCATTGCCCAGCTTTGGCCTCTGGGATCCCTAAAAGCAAAGCAAAATGAGAGATCCCTTCAGGTGGGATATTCTAAGACAGGACTTTGGGTGGAACGAACCTCTCAGATGTCTCTAATTCTCCCCGACAAGGCTTGAAGATGCTCTCATACCTAACCCGGAGCAGGACTCCTTGCTTTGAGACATATAAAGTCAGGTGAGAGTCATCAAGAGGCAGAGACTAAACTAAAATAATCACACTCATCTCACTTCTTGGACAAATTTGAGCAGCAGCGTTTTATAAGGGAGATGGGGAAGGAAGAGAGAGCATTGCTCTCGTCCCGGCTCCACGCCCTGTTTGCTGTTCTCTGCTTCACTGAGAAATACCGTTATTAACGCCTGAGTAGTTACCCCCATTGCTCAAAATTTCAGTATCACTTTCTGCTACCCACAGGGACCCCCTGACCCCCAGTATCAGTGGTGCTGCTAAGCTCCTTACCTGTGCCACTTCCAACTCCCAGAACATTTATAGTTGATTTTCCATTGCCGAGACTGAAACGATAAGTAGACATTACTCCACCACACTACGTCACACAACTTCATGTTTTAATTCCAGTATCTTGGATGCCACATTGGCCCGGAAATTTAACTGAGTTTTGCCACGTGAATTGGGATAGAAATTTGAGCATCCCTTTGGAGCCCAGCTATAACCAACTGCGTGGCGGGAGCCAGCCCTGTATTAGCAAGCTCATATTTCACAGTACAGTAGGCAGCAGGATATAGTGTTTCTCTTCCTCTGCCAGAGAGTTTTCTTCAAGCTGTGGCTGGCACCATGTAAAAAGGCCTCAGGGAACCCCAGGGCGAAGGGTTTTCTTCAGGGGTAGCGGGGCTGTGCCTGGCTGGGATGGGCACCGCTCCCCAGCCGGGACTGCAGGGACAAGGTGAGATGGGGCAAAACCTCTGCACCCTCAGAGGACAAGTTTGGTTTTCCAATATTGGATATAAATGCCCAGGAAAAAAAAAAAACCAGGCTATCCAGATGACTGGAAATCCTCTCTTTTCAATATTCGTCTTGGTTTGAAATTGGGAGGAAAGGTCAAAATCTTCAGTAATTTTTACCTTAGAAAAATTACTTCTGAGAAGATCAAAAAAACCCCACCCAACCTTGTGGTTCCTAGCAGAATATTTAATAACAGCCTGGCTCAAGGATGAGGAGCCCGGGCTCGAGGCACCTCGCTGCTGTGACATGCTTTATGGCCTTATTCTGCTCTCGGGCATGGACTGTGCAGAGGGATTGATTTTCCCATACACAATCTCAGGAGACACCACAGCAATGATTCAACAAGAGGGGAGAGGGTAGTAAATCCTGCAGGGTGTGAGCTAGTCAAGGAGCCTTAGCCCTAATGAGGGTCAAGACCCTTTGACAGACCCACAATCAGCATCATAAGAAGCCACAATGTTTTGCATCATTTCAAATTCACATAAGTAAATATTTCAATTAAAATTTCCCAATACAAAATATTTTTTAATTATTATTTTATTGCTAATTTTTTATATATATCTGATCTGGAGAATAAAAATTTGCCTGCCTAAATTTTTTTCTCAATAGAGAAAGCAGTTTCCATAACATCCAAAAATTACCCAAACTTGAAAGATCTTTCTTGTGGTTTGGATCTAGGCTGCTCTAAAACTTATCTGCAGTCATCCAGGCTTAGTATATTACATCAATACTTCACAAAACTGATTATCATTTGGTACTTAAGCAATGCAAATCGACTTAGGATAGAAATAAGGAGGTCTTAGGGGACTGAGAAAATCAAGAATTAGTCACTAGAAGAGAATTAGAGATGTGTTTCTGTTTGGACTGATGCGTGATGAAGTCCCAAAAGCAGGGAGAGAGCACAAGAGAGATTTCTTTTGAAAAAAACAAACAACAAAAAATACTTTAATCCTTGGAAAGTCAGCTAATGAAAAGAGATGGACATGAAAATGAGGTCTTGATTCTTTCCTTAACATAAGCTGAGAGGCAGCACAGTGTATTAATTGAAATAGCATGTATTCTGGAGTCATTAAACAGAATATCCTAAAGACCGCTATTAAGGGACTTAAAATCAAAAAGCATTAAAAGTTAATTCATGCCCCAGAAAATCCTTAAACACGTTTGCTGACCCTTGTATGCAAGCTGCCCTCCCAAGATAACAGATGGCTTTCCCACTTCGGTGGAAGCGCTCCTTACCCAGCCATGATGTTGGGCATTTCTTCCTTGTTGAACTCGTCCATGCACTGGTGCTCTGTTGAATGATCCAAAAATGACTTAAAGGCTTCTACATACTCCTCGGCCGTGAGACTTCTCATGGAAGGGATCACATATAGCTCTTGAGAAATAAATATACATTGTGTGTTAGCAGCTTCAAGGCAAGTGAAGGATCAAAGCACTTACCTCATGGAGGAAACCCAACCCAACCCAACAGAAGCCAGAGAGTCAGGAAGACGGTAGGGAGAACGCATGGCCCAGGAGCCGTCCAAGCAGGTGGGCTCATGCGAACACTTTCCAACCTGTTCACACTCAGGGTTTGAAAATTATTCTTAGATGCCCTTTGACATCAGCATATTTGTTAAGTGCCTCGTTATTACAGGTCTCCCTGAGGAAAATATCCCCATAATTTCCTGAAGATGCTTAGATAGATATGGCGTACTCGGTTTGCAGAAAGGGAGGTAACTGGAGTGTTTTTCTGGAAGGCTCAAGGCAAGAAGGTGAAGGGAATTGCACAGCAGGTCCAAACCTGGAGGGGCCGTCGCTCTCACACATGCTGGACGGTGTAACTGAAATCGCCAGCTGTTGGCACATGGGCTATTAGGGGTGATACAACACAAAAACTGCCACCTGCAGCTGAAGCAAAAATAGACAACCCCATGCACTTCATTTCTGACTCTTGCCAGCATGGGGCTGCAATGCACTACTGGAGAGGTGGATTCCCTGCTGGGAACTGCAGCTCGTGGCCAGGAGGGCAACTGATAGCAAAAGCATTTCATCTGAACAGGCTCATGCTCAAATGTGGGTGGCTGAGACCAAGACTTCTAGCTCTGAACCAACACCCAGGGCCACTCAAGGGTTTGCAAGCAATTATTGCAAAAACTCACTTTCCTGCTGTCTCTTCCTAATGACAGCGCTGCTGCCAGGGCACAAGCTCTGGCCAGCTGCTTGGGCCTGAGGAGCAATGCTAAGACTTGAGGCTCACAAGAAGATGCCATGCAGCTAAGTACTGGTTCTGGGGTCTATCTCAGACAGGGGGCTGCAGTAGGAAGGCAGTCATAGTGCCAGCCTCAACATGTGAGATCAGCATTGGAAAGGTAGCATTCAATAGGAAAAAAATCAGCTTTTCCTCCTAAGCGAAATGAGGATGAAGGACAGGACTCAGCAAAACATCTTCATCCTCATTTTTGCCTTTCAAGGAACTGCTTATTTATCATTTGCATTTAGTTGCCACTAGTAAGAAAACTAGGTATGTCTCGTACAGGACTGTGCAGTCTTAAATTGAATGCCTGTGCTGTTTCCAAAACCACACGTCATTGGCAGCTGTGTTTCTGGTAGGTACGTATGGAGACCCTATGTCCAGCCCTATTGGAGGTAAAGGTATCACCATCTATCCTCAACACTTTGAACTATACCCTAACATAAACCTGAAATCACCTGAATTGCAGTCAGTTTAGCATCCTGTCTCTTTTTTTTTTCAAACAATCTCTAACTCCGAAAGAAATAAAACATGTTTGTAGTGTTAGCAAGCTGAGTGGGCATTTTACTTTAATCTCCTTTTTTTTTTTTTCTCCCAAATACCTGAATTATCGTGTGGAGCTGTCAGAATCTCTGCTTCAAAGTTCATGCTGGGGAACCTATTCCTGTAAGGAAAGTATAGCACTTCAGTTATTTGAAGAACCTGTACGCTTTCTTGAAGCTGCATTGCAAATGCAGAACAAGAGGAAGACGCTCCAGGACAACTTTTCCTCGCCTGATAATCAATGCTATTTGTTCTCTTTTACTACACTAAAGAAAGTCAAAACTTCTTGGTTAGCTGATCACCCGTAAGTATCAGCAATGGACTGGCCACCTGCACCAGTGCTTGTCTGAGATGTGTTGTGGAAGCTTTTCCTCCCTCTGAAGAATCGTTAACCAGTCAATATTGTGGAAGGCATTAGACTAGTCGATATTACACACTCTGTGAAACCTTTAATCATGGAGTAGAAGAAAGCAGTGAAATTAGGAAAAGGCTATAGTGAGCTCCAGCATCTGAAGTGCTAAAAGATCTGCTCGGCCCAATGTTTCTGGGACCTTTTTGCTTTGCTTTTTCTTTAAGTTCAGTTTTTCCTGGCTGCAAATATTACATTGGGTAACTTGTAGAAGGCACAGGACTCCAAGGGCAAAAGTCAATGCGTTCATTTGACCATAACCTGTTTTCATTCAGTCATATGTTTTCATTCTTAGCTTGGGGGTTTTTGTGAAGATTTCCAGCAATGAAGTCACATCTTCATTTTCCTTTGACAACGTGCTTCATCTATGGAATATGCATGAGGTGCCACTAGCAAAAGGAAGGGATGAAATTAAATTGGAGCAAGGACCTCGCTTCTGCAAAGAAAGTGTTGGGATGAGGCTATCTATGCAAAGGGGAAAAGTCATCTTCTGGGTAACCACATTTCAATATCGAGATGCACAGCAAGACTTAGGGGTGATATTCCTGTATAACCTGAGTTTAGACACGTTGCTGCTCCCAAAGCTTTGCCATTAGAAAATGCTTCATGACAAGCAGTCTGCAAAAGCAGTAAGCAGCCCTCGAGTCCCCTCTGCCAGGGAGAAAACTCCTGCATGAATAAGAAACAAGCCAGGAGGTGGAAAAGAAAAAAGGGAGTCTTGTAGTAGGGCTTTGAGATACAATATGTAATGACTGTGCTAGCAGGTAGCAAGGAAGTGGCCACATGTGCACATAGCACACTGCTTTGGTTGATGAAGGCAAGAAAAGACTAAGGTGAACCAGAAGTCTCGGAGACGCTGGGGCAATGCCAGAGTCCCGCAGGAACAGTTGATTTCATCTGAGTTCACTGGCAAAATCACATACCTGGCTCCCAAGAGGTACGTTAAAGGTCTTGGTTCCACCACCTTGACCTCATCGCCCTCCCAGAAAAGAACACACAGAAGTTCAGCAGCAACAAGCCTGAACTCAGTCCCCTCCGTAAGCTCCAGTTTGGCTGCAGGCCAGTCCCTCCAGTTTCCACTCAACCCTCTGACCTCTTTTATCTCTGCCTGTCAAAACAGGGGACTAGTTTGTCCTCTCAGCTGGCTGAACCGAGCAAGATGGTTTTCAGAATAAATCTCCCACTACAATGCCAAGGGGTAGCGTGGCTTCTCCTGCGTAGAGAGGAACAGCTCTCGGGGTCCAGGCACATGAACTCCATTTCTGACCGGTCAAATGTTTCCAGCCATCCCAGGAGACCTGCCAGGTGATCTGGACAGACTGCAGCACAAGTATTCACCAGGACGGATGATGCCAAGTTAACTTCTACCGAGACTTTTGCCATTTCTCCCCAAGCAGGGTTTCTAAGATTGATTAATGTTTGTTGCTGGGAAGGTGAAACAGACTTAATTATTGCTGGGAACAAATGAACTTCCTCTAAAACCTGGCTTAAATTCTAGGCTGGATCTGAAAATTGATTGGGCTGGTGCTGCCCATCCCAGGACCCCGATACCCAACAGCAGGACCGAAGCAGTGACTGCCAGCGAGTGGGATGCTCATGGGCACGGCTCGTCCTGCCGCGGCTCCTGACTAAGTCAGAGCTCGCCGTTAGCAAGGCTAAACCTCTTCCCTTCCGTGAACCGAGCAGGTTGCATTATGGACTGCAGGTGCAGGGCACAGAAGGAATTCACAGGGTCGCTTTAAGTGACACGGCACCTTTAAGTTGAAAAAGTCATTAAATTCAAGAGGTTTCTAGCAACACAAATTGCAAGAACATCTTCATAACTCATAATTTCATCACACCTAAACTTGGGCTGCTAAGGGGCTAAAGGTCTCCTCACAAGGCTAGTTTAGCCCCCATCCCTCCCAGGACATGGGCACATCTGCTGTTACTCCCACCTTACACACGTCCACCCGTGACCCAGGGACAGCAGGGGCTGGCTCTGCCACCCAGCCGGACGGTGGGGAAACACGCACCCTCGCTCCTTTCCAAAACCCACGTACCTCTTCATCTCTGGGACCGGATCCATGGTCAGGGCGGGTGCCGTGCCGGGGCACGGCGGCTGGGCACGGGGCTGGGGGTTAGCTGGGTGCCTGGCCCCTACGATAGCATGTCCACCTGCCGCCCCGCCCCGCGCCGGCCGCTCAACCCACCGTGACGGTGGCGGTGATCCCGGCGTGCGGCTGCAGCTCTGCCGGCACCTGTCGGGACAGGCAGCGTCACCGGAGCGAGAAGGGGAAACCCGAGCCCGGCGGGGAAGGAGCGAGGGGCCGGGGCAGGCGATGCGCAAGGCCTGACGTCTGCAGGGCTGAGCTCATCAGGCAGGAGCTGCGCTGTTTTCAAGGGGGGGACAAAAAAAAAAGGGACAGATTCAGACTTCAAAATCTTTAAAACCTGAGTGGAAATGGCTGAGGGGTGTCAGCTGGTGCCAGGCAGACCCAGGGGCCATTTCCATTTGCTTTTTAATTTGCTTTGAACCCTGCCTCTCCTTTGTGCTCGCTGCCCCAGGTGGGAGGAGGTGCTTTCCCGCATCCTTGCCATGCTGCTGCCTGATGAACGGACATGTTGGGGATGCGCTGGGAGATCCCTGCTTTCTCCGGAGAGAAGAGGGGCTCGCTGGCTGCCCAGAGACCTGAGCAAGTGATTTTTCCATCTCTGATTCAGCGGAAATGGGGCATAATGGCAGGACCCACCAGTGGGCACTGCAGCCCTGCGGGCAGCCTGGCACCCCCCTGTCCCTGCCCCGTGAAGGGGCTAGGGGGGACGGGCAGCCGGGGCGGGGGGCAGCGAGCCCAGCCTGCTCCTGCTTTGCTTGCTAAACCACAGGAATTAGACAGCAAGGAAACATTTTTGGGGGAGAGCTGTCCGAGCCAGAGGTGGCTGGAGGTCACCCAGGATGGGACGGCATGGCTGGTGGTGCAGTGGTCGCTATTACAAATACAGAAAATCCTGGGTGCTCCCTGCACCCGGGTTCAGCCTTTTCTCCTACCAGCATCCACAAGACTGATGTTCCTTTTGACTAAAATCTAATAACACAAATGTAAAAAAGAAAGGATTTAGAGACTTTATATTTCCAAGTGAGGTCTGGTGGTGGAAAGCACAGCGGTAGGATCCTCTCCACTCCCTTTCCCTGAAGGCAATGGGCAGAACAGATTTAGCAGATGACAAATAAAACCTCCTCCCTTGCTGAGATCCCTCTCCCAAAACACCACCTGCCCCGCACGGCTCACCTAGGCCAGGGATCACGCTCTCAGGTGAGGATGCTTCACCACCAAGTGACCTGTCTTGGTTTATACTAGATTCGGCTTCCAAATGGATTTAAGTTATCTCCACCCCAAGGCGGGTCCGCAGCAACATGTTAAGCTAGACACGGCCACATCGCTGCTCTTAGCCAAAATATTCAAATCAAAGTGAGGAAAGACCAGAAGCTCTAAAATGCAGATTTGGCTCCTGGTGCTGCTTGACCGCTCGGGTGGTGATTTTATATCAGCCATTTCCATCCCTAAATATTTCCAGCAGAGACACCAGCCCCCAGACACCAACAGTGCACCAGCGGACAGCAGATTGTGTTTCTCAGCCAAGCCCCACACGCTGCAGCCGCAGCTCCCTCGTGTCCCCCAGCCACCTCCACCTTGTCCCAGCTAAGCCACACAGCCCGCTCTGGCCCAGGCACCCCTCCACCCCGCCATGCCACCAACAGGGATCGGCATCCCACGGGCCGCGGCAGAAAGCCGTACCTCCCCGGAGCAACCGGAGCTGTAGAGAAACCTCCAGCATCCAGGAGCTGCACAGCCCTTGGAAACCTCCTTGTACATCCACTGGGGGCTGATACCCCTCCCTTGCCCCCCTGTGTGTCCCCCCCCCCTCGGCTCCAACAGCCCACGTAGGCGCATGCCACAACTGAGCTGGCATTAGCCTACAACAACAGCCTTTGTTCCCTCTGCACTGGAAACAACAGCACATTGTGGGCAGCTGCCTGCGCCAGCAGGAATTGGCGGCAGGGTGGCTTTGGAGGATGTACCCTCTGCAAGCTGTGCTCTAGGTTGTTCCAGCAAGCTCGTGACTAAATCCGCGCTAAACTGTGTTTTTCGTACAACTTGGGTTTTTTTGATCTCCGAGGCGAGATGATGGCTAAAGCTAGAGTCAGGCTGCAGTGCGAGAAAAACAAAGCAACAGTGTTTTTCCCCACCTGCTGCAGCTGCGGTGGTCAGTTTGGGGCTGATCCTGCAGAAATAGGTCATTTGCTTTTCCCAGGGGCGAGCCTGCCCAGGGCTGGTATCGCCCGTGGCGCCGAGCCCCCTCGATGCCCCGGCTCCATCAGCCCACCACAACAAGCCTTGGATCTGCGCTTCCAGGCAGGGAAGTCTGAGTATTTGGAAATCAAATTCCAATGAATTTATCTTCTAAATAGTGATCAGCATTTAGGCTGATGAATGTCAGGAAGGTCCTAGGCATTTTTACAGGGTTCTTCATAGTGTTACTAGTTCATGTTTTGCAAACCTCCCTGCTCCACCTAGAACAACTGATTAAGGTCCATGTAATGTAACTTTGATTTTCTTGTGAGCAGAGCTATTTTCTTCTGCAGCAGCATTTCTTTTTTTAATGAATCAATTAGATAGTTATTTTCCATTTCCTAGACAAAACTTCTAAGGTATAACCGGCAGTTTCTGTATTCTACAAAGTGAAATATTTGGTGCAAGCGTGTTATTCTGCATTAGGCAAGTTCTGGTAGAGAGGAAGATAACCAGTAATTTTGTAGCACCCATTTTCCTGATAGTTAAAGACAAGATTTCTCATTAAAGGAAGAAATTTTGTTTTGCATTAACCCTATTAAATATTTAACAGTTCCTGGGCAGCAGTAGATCTTGGAGTTCAAGCAACAGTATTTGTTTTAATATGTGTATACAGTTTTTTTTCCTATAGGAAAAAGAATATGACTTCTGATAAGTACTGAAAAAGATGACATCGGAGAAGCAGAACCTGTCCCGTCCCCCCCGGGGCAACAGCACTTGCTGCTGCTGGGCCCAGCCGCTCCAGCCGCGTTTCGATTCAACCTCCCAAAACCACGAAGCACCTAGATCTGGAGATCAATTATTTTTTTTAACACAGCCCTTCCTGCCTTTTCATTAAAGCCTGGCTGCCGGTGCAGTTCTTCCAGACCTTTTCAAACCACCCTTTTCAAACTGTTTTACTAGAGGTCATATCTCATGTAGTTGTAATTATAGAGCTAAGGCAAGGGCAGAGGGAGAGGCCAGCGTGACCACCTTCAGAAAAGGCTCTTTGATTGAAGGTGAAGACCAGCTTTTGCTCTATAGACCATAAAGCGTTCAAAAAAAAAAATATCTCTGAGAGCAAAGACAGGTACGGTAAAGTGTGGCTTTTGCCGCTCAAGAGCTCACGAGTCTTCAGCCAGGAAAATACGCTCAGAATTTTACTTTCCCTGGCTGGATGGGAGCACAGCATCGGCAGGATTAAACACATCTGACAGGTACAGTGCTCCAAAATCAGGGCATTTGCAAACGCCGCTGTACGGAAATGTGGAGGATTGCCAGGGAAAGAGGTTTTGTCCCCAGCTCGAAGTCAGCAGTGCAAATAGTAAGGCTGTGGGGACTGATCCTTGAGCAGTTTTTCTGGTTCAAGAGGATGGACTAAGGAGGACAGGAGTTTTTGGTACGAAACGAGGCTGTGATAAGGGACCCTCACATGCAGCACCACAGCCCTCATAGGGCTGGGATGGCTGAGGAGTGGGTTGTGTCCGGGGGAGCTCAGCACCGTGGGAGCTTTGCTTTATGTTAAGGTTTCTCAGCAGTGCTGGTGTGCTAAATCGATGTTCCTGTGTTTCAGCGGGGCTCACTAACCAGCCCGTAACTGGGAGCAAGTAAGTCTGCAGGGGCAGGAGTTACAGCTGGGCAGTTTGGATTAATCACAGCACGTTGCAAGGTGATGCAAACTGCTGGCAGACCCAGACACCCATGGGTGCTGAGCTCCCATAAGGGCCACAGAGAGCTCAGAGAGCAGATAACACAAAAATAGCATTGAATTATTAATGTTACCGATTACATTTCAATTGCACCTGAAACGACGGATCAGAATTGAAATTCTGTTTACTTACCTGCTCTTAAAGCAAGGCTGAGCCCAGCCGTTACAGCATGCGTGACACTGCACCACTGCCGAAGGGAAGAGGCCTGAACAGTCCGAGCACCCAAAGTACCCCAAGAGAAGCCACTCTGCCGGACAAAAGTCTGTTACAAAAATGGAATACTTCTTTTTATGCCATTGACGGAAATAAGACGACAAGTCGCCCTTTTCTGTGTAAACAGAGAGAG